TAAATAACTCCCCGTGTTTACTTTATTTTTACAGACTATTGCAACTATATCAGTGGAAGGATTCATTTTTCTTCCATATGTACAATATGTGGAACAAGCACCAGCTATCAGTAACTGGAGCCGTGCGCGGAATGAGCGGAGGCTTTCCAGCCGTAGCTAATGTATCCCGGGAGAGAAATGTTCAGGAAGGAGGACAGAATCAGCAAGCTGCTCATAGCTTTCTTCGACTCTGAGTTCTCCTTCTCCCGGAAGAGAAATCGACGATTTACTCCAAAACTTTAGCGACACGTGGTCAGCTCTGATGGCACTTAATTCCAAACTTTAGCTAACTTTTTTCTAGAGGTAGCCATAAATGAGTAAGCTTTGAAGCATTTCACAGCTGTCACTATATGGCCATGCCGATAAAAGGCTACTCTGTAATTTTTCCTAATTTCTTTGCCCGTGCTTCATATTATTGTTATAGTGCCAGAGATCTGACCTTGACTGCCGATGCTTTTTCGCTTTTTACTTTTTTTCCAAGTTTCATGTAATCGGGTAAATTTCTGGTAATCACAACTGTTGATACCAGAACGTATGGATGTGACAAAGGTCATTATTTTCATTCAAAGCCCTAGGCTTATTATACCGTGAGGGTTTTTCAGCTTCCCTACAGAGCCATTAAATGAAATCGTTCGAACGAAGCTTCCATTTTTCAATTATTACCTGACCTTATAAATGACAAAGCTTTTACACTCGAAATTCTTCTCTGATTTGGCATCAGACCAACAAGTTTATTCTGGCAGCAATCAAACAACTCCCAATGCTTCAGAGTTCGTCTCTTGCACCATTTCAGCTTACTCGATTGTTACAGGCATTTTCGGTCTCCGAATCATTTCACATGTAAGCGATTACGGATTCATCACATCGGCTGTGCAAATGGTTGGAATATGAGCTATGTGTACAGGGCAGGTGCAAAATTGCGGAAGTTTCCATGAGGGTGCTGCATGGGCGCAACCTCTTTAGCCTGATACTGATTCACCCGGGGTAACGGAACTTCTCCCCTATCGCGGCATTCTCCCTNTTTCATTGGATTTGTTCGTTTTTTCTTCTGTTTCTTTTTAGTTTTCATGTTTATTAGACTTGATTAATTAAAATGACTCCTCCTATATGAACGACGATCAAGACCGCTTTGGAATTGAAAAGAGCGGCCAGCCAATTCAAATTATTAAAGGACTCCCTACCTCACAAATTGCGCGCTCCAATCTTCCATCGCAATCCTGCGATAGGCGGCGGGTGCGACGTGTGCGACGCCGTGTTAGGGGAGAAGTTCCCGGATCCATTCACCCGTATTCTCAAGCAGCTACCGTTACACTCGCAAAAGCTATGTTACTAAAAGTTTCTAATTTGTCGATTCTATGGTAATCTTTTCAAAACCGTAGTGACTGTAGAACTCCAGTTATGTAAGTTTTGAAATCCCCAAATCGTGCCAACACGGCTTTTTTTTTCAAAGATTTTCTGTAAGACCTAGGAGAAAAACTAAGTCTCGGTAGTATAAGGGTTAAGAGCACGGTCCTCGGAAAGGACGAGTACGGGTTCGATTTCCGTCCGAGTCTGAAGTTTTGTCTATAAATCGCCAATCTTGTAAGACTTTCAGAACACGTACTGCAGCGATATAACAGCAGTTAACAGAACATCAAGTCAAAACTTTATAACACCATCATTTTATCATCAATAAGCTCTTATCCACTGAACTACGACATATCAACGAGTATTGTATGGAATGTACATCTGTTGTGCACAGGTTCGATCCAAATACTTGATACTTTCATCGATCATCGATTTTATCGACTCGCATACAGCAACCATAGCCACGCCTCCGAAACCATGAGTCATCTGAAGTTAATGACCATTATTTATGAAGAACTAGTATTAACACTGATTACACTGCTTTATCACTCATTATCACTGTAAAGTGAGGCGGATAATCTTTAAAACAAAAGCTTAATCACGAGAACCTCAAAGAGGTAGCCATGAAATGTGCTTTGTATTCTCACCAGGGTATAGTGACTGAGGTGCTGCTGGATGGAAGGATCTAAAACGACAGAAGGTCTTGCTGGAGCCACAAACGGAGTCAGTGGAGTTCGATCGGCGGCAAGGAGATCGCATAGCTCGGAGACAATCTTCCTAAATTTCATATATTACAAAACAAACAAACAAATTGAAGAAAGAAAACCAACTTGCTGCTCTCCAGCATCATCCGCCTTCTCATCACATCATGATCAATCGAGAGACTGGTTTTGGTAAGGAAAATGCCGATTTCGCGTGCATGGAACTCCTTATCGCAGACCAGTGCGAAGTCCTTTGCCATGTGTACAGCTTCTTCTGAAAAGAGTCTCCTGAGAAGCATATTTCCCAATTAAGGAGGAAATCAGGCAATACATAAGGCCATTGGAAAACAATACGTGAATTACAAGCACATTCTCGACTCCAAAAAGTTTACTTGCTTACAAGCAGGATTTAATAAATTATCCTGGTTATTGAGGGGCATACAGTGCCTGCCCGCTGCTAACATAGCTAAATACGGTAGTTGTAAAGGTAAAATCTTTCCCCCGAAGCCGTCAGAAGCCGGTCAGACACGGACCGGTCGAAATTTATGGAAAGAGGCGTCACTATCGAAATTCAGAGGTTCCGATCATATACCTTTCTTAAATGCGCCCTATAAATCGCAAATGCTTCTGACTCTGACAATAGTTCTATATATGAAGCCTTCCGAAATTAACATTCCGACAGGACCTCGGCAGATGATTTTTAGTATTTCGTTTGATTCAGGAATGCGACATCAACTTTTCATTTCAGATTTGTAATACAGTAGCATAAACAGCTTAGTGGTGCTCACCTTCGACGAGGGCTGTCCATGCTGTGACATTCGCTTGTTTACGTCTCCCAGCAGGGAGAACTAATCCAATCTTTCTCAGTGAATCGCGCAACGTTTTCCCACCATCTTTAGATTTGGCCCTATAAAGCAGAGATATAGGGCCAACAGTTCAGTAAACTCTGCTCAGTTGAACATGCCTGCGAAGGATTCCTCCAAGAAGTGATGCGTTGAGACATTCAGGCGGGCTGATTCTTCGTTGAATTTCACCCACAGTTACGCGATACTTGGTTGTACTGCTCAGTAGGCTAGTTCTTCCGGGAACAGTGCAATACACCTAAAAAAACACAAGCTCATACAAACAGCCTATTTTATCTTGAAAACGCTGTTTTTACCTCAGATGGATCCGCACCACCAGGATTGCCCGTAGAGTCGCCAAAGAAGATCAGGGGGATGTCGACTCTACGTGCCACTGTAGAAAAAGTTTAGCAAATCCATTATCGAATAAACAAAAAAAGAAAATATTCGGGTGAACCATTGATGTGGGAATAAATCATGAAAAGCATGTGCAGAAGTGCCCACGGTGAATTTCGAGAGAGACCAGGCCCAATGGAACAGCTGTTTGGTAGAGGTGTGATACTATTTTCCCGAACGGTGCCGCGGAGTCGCGCCCACCGGGCCCGATCGCGCTTGACGCGCGCGGAGAACGAGAAGGTCAAACTTCTGGTGGAAGGTTACGGTAATTGTGGAGTAACCACTCTCGCTCACAGTGGGACATTAATAAAAATAAAGTCATCTTTTTCCAAGACGCAAGAACGCTCTAGAAACAGAGGATCGACAGTATTTTTATCGGTGAAGATGAAAGTTAACAGCCCTTTTGAAGACATACCATCTATAAGATTTTCAAGAAATGCGAGGTTGTAATCTTTTGAATGTTAAATTAGTGCTTGTGCTCCAAAGCTTTAACTTTCTTTGACGTGGTGCGACGATGAGCCCACTATGAATTAGCACCGAAAATAGGTATTTTCAGTGCGTCTCTCATCAATCGAGTTGTTACGTAGTCTACCAGTCCACCAATGAGAACTCCACTGCGGTCCCTGAACTACTCTGCCAACTTTTTGCCGGTTGTGCCTACCGTACTCCTGCCTCTGAGGGCTCTCTCTTAAAAATCAATAATGAAAGGGAGTTGGGATAAGCTTAAATCCGAATACAATTTATTATTTAATAGAGAATATAACATCATTAACACTGTAAAGTGGTTAACAATCCTATTATCTTTAAACGCTCCGTCCACGGATATGTATTGGATTTCGAGGAGGGTGTGAGCCACGCCCCTTACATTACGGTACCTTTTTTCATGTATTTTATGCATTGAACTAACTCACACTTCCTTTCCAATTCATCGACTTTCGTAGGTGACTGGCAGAAGTCCTTAACATCTACAACTATTTTCAAATTTTGCAGTACTACATGGAACTGAATCAACCTCAATCTCTTCGTTACCACTGGAAAGGAAGTGATGCTGAAAGAATGCCGGCTGAGCCATTTCTCCTCTGGAATAGGCCAAAGCACCAATTCCACATGGCATCTGAAATTTTTCTGTGAATGAACATTGATTTGAACTGAAAAATGTAAACAACTGTTGTAGATCAACTTACATGGTGTTGGATGACATTTTGGTGATAAGCAGGAGGGAATTCATTGTGCGGATAACCGATGGTGAAGTACTGAGGAGGAAATGATCGGTAATCATTTCGGGAATGATCGCACTGAATACGTACTGTAGACTAAATTAAAAATCGGTCTTCCGAGTGGAAAAAGAATTTCTCTAAAATCAGGGAGCTGACAAAATCTTCTGACAGGAAGCAGTTTGGGGCAAGGCTAGCCAGGTGGACTACTCTTAGTGAGACATTTCAAAAAGTTATTAGGAGAATAATTCGGCTTTAACCCCTTATGGAAGATGAGAAAGTCTCAACGTTCTAGACTGCTAGATTCCTTCCAATCAACCACAAATTAACAAGATATAGATCATATCATTCGGGACATGCTAAAATTGTTACCGTGAAACCAGCTGATTGGCGGAAATCGCATTGACTTCCTTCAGCCTCGTCTTCTCCTTCAAGATCCTCTTCGTCGGTTGCCTGAAGTTGAAAGTAAGTTTTGAAAAACTATTTTAGTGAACCATATTTTATATATCAAATATTCCGGGTCTGTACCTCCATTTTTCGTTTCGCAAACAACTCAGGATTGATTGCAAGTCGTTTGCGACTGCACATCCGAATGTGGACTGGAGGCAGATGCCCGTCTAAAATGCCTTAATGATTAGCTTTACTCACTGCTACTTACCAAACGGCCCTATGCGCCATCCAAAAATTAGAAAAAAATTACTCAGTGAAGCGAACTTTTCACCTTCATCTCAAAGGAACTGGTTCAGTGTATAGGATGAAAAGGTACCTCTAGTTTTCGACTTGACTAGTCCGCTATAAAAATCGGTAGGGACCTGGGGAGGTGACCAGTTCAAAGACGAAGGGACTGCAGGATATCGGATCAAGCATCAGCTTAACAGTTGAAAATATTCCACCGCTTTCCCTACAAAGGGCTGAGGGAGGGATAGAAATTCCTGAAGATGTTATGCAGTCAACTTTGAATGGTGATACAGATGGTCCAAGTATCTCATATAGACTTTGGGATGTTATGGGAGATTAGAACTGATCTATCTGGTTTCCTGGAATGGTTCCCGGATTGGAATTAACACTGCAACTTATTCAAGGAGAAAACGAGGAAATTCAAGCCAAATTCGGACGAATCCGATGAAGAGTCAGGAACATTCTTTATATCTCGATTAAAATTACTTGCGAACACATCATTTTCGAGAGAGACCAACTGAGCCGGATGAAAAGGAAGTGAGCTCGGGAAATTTGTTAATAACGTTCGAAGTGAGTGAGTAAAATGCAGCCGCAATATGGTTGGTTGTTTGCCGAGTGCCGGGATTACTGTAGCATTATTAGTGCTTAATTGAATTCTTGGTCCGAGGGCCGCGCCTAGGCTGAGTGCGTCTAGTTGATGATAATCCTTCTTTGATTGCTGCTATGTTTTGGGAATATGCTAAGTCATATACGGTATTCCACACGCCTCTTTTAAATTGATGCCATGAAATCCGTGGTTCTACATTACTTGGCGTTCCAAGGATGTAGTAAAGGGATAAATAGTGAGAAAAGTAATTTGGATAGATGATAATTCGTTTGTGACAATCCCGAGTCCCCTTATACTAAGCTGCTCGCAAATTATTTACTGCGGAAGCTGGTCCACTCATCGGCTTCATTCCGAAGGAGTTGAGGCTTACCTTGAAGTCCGAGCTTTTCCACAGTCTCCACAGATCCTCACTTCAGATTTCATTAGCCCTGAGCCAGTGACGATCCATTTCGGCTAGCCGCCCAGCCAACTTGACCTTCTTGGTGATGGCCATTCTTGTTTTCGCCCATAGCGGGGAAAAAGATTACGACTGATCCTGCAGCCTCGAACGTCTGGGGGACTGCACATTTGAGGATATGCATAATGACAGGCCAATCTAATAGCCTAGTCAAATCCGTGCCATCCGTTCATTTGCCACGCCACTCGTACTCGAAATCATCGTTTTGTAAAATCGTCAACAAACATGAACAAATAAAACATTTATTCAAATCTTATAGATTAGTAATACAACGCCATTGCGCTTTAGTTATCCACAAAACAGTGAGGTATCCCAAAATTTTTAATCTAATGGTCCCGATCACCGTAATTCTAGTCCACGGTCGGTCCGTACAATGTTCACGGTACCGGTTGCGATGGTATCGCTGATTCGAGCACACATCTCATCGACGGCTTTGTCCAACTTTGCACGAACGCATTCGCCTTTTGACAGCACCCTCGACGACGCTAACAAATCACCAATACGAATGTCCACCTTCTGAGACCAGCCCTGAAAGAAGTACCCATGGCGTTACACGGGACCTGTTTTTTGGGAAAAGGACCTAATGGCCGCATACCAACCAAAGGAAAAACGCACCTGAAGATGTGTGGAGTGCTGAGACAAATCTAGGTTAACCTTCTCTAATGCCATCAAAAGTGCTGAAAAAAAAATTCGATAAAAATAGGGACACAAACCGGTCCTCTCACAAAAAAAANNNNGAAATCTTCTTCATCTTCAATATTTAAAATGGCTAACCTTTGAACGTCTTCGCACCGCTTGCCAATTTTTCAGCTTTCTTCAGACACCTTTTAAGGAAATTACAATATAAATCCTGTGGACCAGATCCATTGAAATGCAGTTTCCTACTCTGAAAACTGGTGAAAAACATGCGAAAATGCACAATGCTTAGGCAAAAACGAGTATTGCTTCAGAAAGGCAGAATATCTCAAAGATAGGTTCTTTTCTGCTAATTCAACCGAGTGCTGTACGTCTTTACACGGGTGGAGGTGGTGTAGTGGCGAGAGGCGCACTATCATACACACGTAATCTGGGGATCGGAACATTCTACATGTGATTATGATGTAGGAGTAAATATATGGTTAAACCGTGAAACGAAATTTGGTCTTCAGTGTTGTGCATTCAGTTACTGTCGCAACCGACTTAATCCAGGCCTTTAATTTTGCCTCGCATGTACGTAAGAGGACGGAGATGGTGTGGTAAGAAGCACAGCAAACGGTCCTTAGTAGAATCCCGGATTAACACCTGAGCCAACTAAGCCTTCCTTTTCACAGAGTTGGTGAGCTGTACCAGACTCGTCTATGGGGACAAAACAGTCTCGTACATCGCGTGGTCTTACGCAAGTCATCTATGTATCACAGAATGAAGTAAAAGCTACAGGAAGTACAATGGTCGTCAAATAATACCAGCAGCCTTATTAACTCTCTACTCTGCTAAGTTTCTACCCTAATGAGCTATCCACAGACCTACTACAAGCACCAAGCGCCTAGCAGAATGTAGCATTCCTGTAGGCCAGGCGTATTACCTATTTGTCGCCGATGCTTTTCACCGTAACCGTTCCCGCTTCTCGCAACAACTGACCAATCTGAGCCAGAGCTCACCAACTACAACCTAAGAACTTGCCTTTCTCAAAGTACCTACATAAGTACCTAATGTTCTAAATGAACTAACATAAACTGAGGAATACCACATTTTTACGAGCTCGTACCTTTATTGATACATCGCCCCCATGTAGGAATGTTTCTACGATAGCATTTACAGCTCCTTCTATAGAGTTGACGCCTGGTTGAGTGAACCTGAATGAAAATTTTTCCAAGGTAAGATGTAATGAAATACCCTCTTTTACTAGGTTCCATACACCAAACTGATTTTATCAGGCTCGCCAATTTTCCGCTGGAAGTAGCGTCCAACGTTCAGTTCGCTGTCAGTTTCGTTGCATAACGCTCTCACTTCAAGGGCAGTTTTCCTATTGAGCACGAGTTTTCATCCGAGCTTATTCTATAGCGGTAGAGTAGCGTCAATTTCCTGCCCCTATGTCAGAAAACAGAAATCTCAGCAGTCTTTTTTCCTAGAGGGAACGGGGCGGGGCACTGGGATGCGGCCTCCTCAAGCACAAGCGTAATATATCCCCCAACCAGTAGCCAACAAGTATCAAGCGCGACCCCCACTAATTGCGAAGACAAAATGAGATGTGACAAGAGCCCTCACAATGGCAATGAGCTGACAACCGAGAAAGGTGTCACGCTTGTCACAATGGCCGTTCAATCGAGTTTCCCATGTCATAATATTGTAGCTGAATCCAATTTGATGCTTCACCTCACATCAGTTCACTTTAATAGATCTTTATAATTAAAGCCACAGTTAGTGGACCAAAGAGAATTCACACAGGAATCCATTTCCTACAGTAATGTGGCGCTATAGGTCCTGGCTCGAAAGCTCGGCACGTGTGCAACACCCACGGTTCTCCTACACGAATCCCAACGGCGACCAGCGAATACCGTAGTGCTCCACCGAAGATTCGAGTCATCCCTTCTGAAGAGCGCGATCAGGTGCTTTGAGCACGCCTCTCGGCTATAGTAACCTACACTGCGTCAAGTTCTTCAGTGCTTTCGAGTCGCACACATGACATTCAAACTATTAGCGAGAGAATAATCACTCATAGGGATAATTGATACGCAGACATCCCTAAGAGTGATTATAGATAAGAGTGCAAGATATCGATCGACGACCACCGATCGTCGCGGAGCGTCGAGCGCCGACGCGACGATCCGCGGCCGTCGATCGATATCTCGTAGGTCGTCGATGGATCTTGCTGACAGCCGACGCTCTTGCGTCAATGACGCTTGACGCCGAACTCAAAAAGCACCTAAATGAATACAGCTCACAAAAATTAGCATTAATAAATCTGATTCCTTCACAATACTTAGAATAATCGGATCAAAAAAAAAAACAAAAAGTCNAGCTGTCACTTTCAAGTAAAGTATCATGGACCTGAGAAAACCTGAGAAAATCACAGTTACAATTATTATTGGCAATCACCTTGGGATGTTTTCTCGATGGTTTGTAAGTAGTCGATAGAATCAATCATCACATTTTCTCAAAACAGTGTTTACAGATCCTCTTTTAAAGAACAAGTGATTTGGGGCTCACTCGCTAAAATCACGCCCCAGTCCGAATAGCTGCGCCATGAACCGCTAAAGTTTCTTGGCTCTTTACATTTCCCAGTTTCGTCAGTACATGATGAAGAGCCAACCAGTGGTAGTACGCCCTAGAGGAATGTGCACTGGAATGATACTGGCTGCCACAAATAGGTCTTCCTTCAGAAGGTCAGGTACATATCGGAATGTTCCAGCGATACTGCTGGAATTCATGCATTTTATCCCATATAATTTGTTCCAGTGGTTAATTAGTGTTTAACAAACAACCTCTAACACATAAACGGTGGGGCGAGCAAGAAGGTGCAATTGCGGATGCCGCACTGAGATCAGATCGCCGCGCGCGCGAATGCGAAATCCTTGCAGAACCCCTCTTCCGGGCTCGTGCATCCTATCAGCCATCAATAAAAGGATATATTTCCTTCAAATAAAAGCTATGGTCCTTTTTCTCTGCTTTTTTCATGAACAGCTATTCATGCCTTCTCTTCTACTGAAGAAATGATCAAGAAAAATTGCAAAGTTACGAAAGAAAGATACGGATCCGATTGGAAATACATCGGGGATGGACCTCTCTTCATCTTCAATACTAGTTGCTAGAGCGCAGAGGAGGGATAGCCGGTCAGCGAGCCTGTAATAAAGCTTGGAAGCGCTTTACGGCTTGGGAATAATTTTTATTCTTCTAAACCTCAAAAAAGGAGGAGCAAGAGGGTGGGTGAGGGCAAAAAGTTGGGATGGAGAAGAACACGAACTCGAGTAATCACTCAATAAAAGATCGCATTAGGACCATCCGGGATCGCCGTGCGCGATATAACAGTTTCAGAGCGTCAGCGCCATCTAATGCATAACCCTTGGAATGATGGACCTTGTGATAGTTATAGGAACTGTTACACTGTTTAATACCAAAACTAAAATAAAATTCCCTACTTCTGCTCTAGAACAAGAACATTTGCTATAGATATCCGCATAACGCCATCGGAAGTATTCTGTGTCCACGGAGACCGCGCTCGCCCAGTAGCGTGATTTAACATCTCCATAGCTGACGCCCGGTAATCTGCCTACATGGAAAGGATGAAAACATGTGGGTTTCACTAGATTTTGCTCGACTCACCTGTAGAAGGAACAATCGTATTTGTTTCATTTTCTCTTCAGTGTATGAATCTTCAGAGTTCAGCCTGTAGTAGGAGATGAAAAAGTGATTCAGGAGAACACGTCAAATGTTAATGGTAGCTTACCTCACGGTATTTCTTTGTTGAGGTGGAGGTGCCTTGGGTGGACCTGCAGTTGTGGTTGGTTGCACTGGATCTCGAGAAGCTGGTGTTCTCTTTAAAGGCGGTGCTGTCGGCTTGCGCTCCAAGGTAAGTGAGTTGGCCTAGGTAGAAAATTATCACTACTGTACAACTACCATTCTCAAACTGATGAACAAGCGCGCAACGAGAGGACATCAACCGAATCGTCGCAGAGCCCCAATTTCGATATTCCAGACATTTAGCTCTAATTACTGAAAAATGTTGGTAGCAGAGGTTCGCTCCATACTCCTGGCCGCGCGCTCAACATCCCTGCGATGCGCTCGCTCTTTATGCAGTGACTTCAGCTTTGCTACTCTTTTAAAAGAGGGACTCACTGTTTCCATCACTCCTGCACCAAGCCGTCGAACTTTTTCCATCACAGCATCACTGTACGTACATCCCATCATGTTGACATTAATGAAGAGCTGCGACATACATAAAAGCTGATCCCTTAAAACGTTTTTGAATTTACAGTAGTTTATTTTGGGACACTACGATAAATTTTTGGCATGCTTAATTTTGACACAATCCATTATCGATCTCTACCCACTCTCCTAAATGAAACCAGAGTCCCCTTTTTGAGCCCCGAAAAAGCGATTGAAACGGTGCAGTATTATCCGCAGTACCCATCAGCTTTTCCAGGGCACTGTGGGGGATTAAATCACTTCAACACGAAATAATCAAAAGAAACTGATAATTTTTCGATCTCCGATTCAAACGCTGAATTACCTAGTAATTAAATGTAACATATAAACTAGCTGTAACCCGCACGCTAAATATCCCCTTGTAAACACTTTGTAGCACCATTACACACCTCGGCATTTCTGTCCAGTACTTCCGTAAAAACGTGCGTCGTATAAGCCATAACCGATCACTCTCGTATGGTTTTCGCTCTTCATCCACCTCTTCTTCTAAAGTCATGAACCTGAAAACACTGAATTCTAACAGTTGAGCATTTTTGAAGCATGTAGTCTTCTGCGAAAGAGAAGAGCTAATCTTTACATTATTTTCAATGTGACAAAACCCAATTGCATACCCCAACTCAGTGATTTACTGCGAAATAAGCAACGGGAGCGACCAATCACGTCTGTGTGTTTCACCTGTTTTAGAAGACCTGTCAAATTTTTATTATTCGCAGTGTTAAATACCCATTATAAAAAACAAATCCAATAAGCGCATCAATAGGGAGTCCTTTAGTGTGAGACCGTAACCTTCCAACAAATGGAATATCAGATTCTTAACCGAGCAAACCAAACACGTAGTAAACAAATCTTACAACTGAAGATGACAAACTTCGAGTTAACAATTATTATTATGGAAATAAATGATAACAAAGTGATAACAATTCTTAAATAACATCGGACGACTTCACAGATCTTCGGCCGCAAGTAAAAACATCGCACAAATAAACGACGTCAGCAGTACCGGAATCAAAGCCCAGATACCGTACCGAGCAAAAAGGAAAACGATGAAAAGTCCGAGTAAAACACCGTAATTTGCCAAGATCTGAAATGAGGTTCCGTACTTCAACATAAAATTCTTGCTTTGTAAAATTAAACAAAACGCACCCGAATACGTAGCGCTGGTGGAGTGACCTTTATCGTTTTCGAGAAAACAGGAGAGGCAAGCGGACTTGAGGGATTCGGGCAAGGAGGATCCATAATTGTTCTTGCAATCGAACCAAGGACTGGAAAAAACGCTCTTGTATCTTATAAATACTACAAGGGAGAAGAGTGACTTGTAATTGCTAACTAACCAGTATCTTTTGAATACTCGCTGGCTATGGTGCTAACAAGGGCCGTCCGGTTAAGGTACTCATTTATTTTGGTTAAAAGCACCACAAGGGGTGGAAACTCATACGGCTTTGCTAGCGACTTCCACTGTGGCAACAGCTGTGAACACATGGAAAAGTCGAATCGCCTGAAGAGGTATCGTGTGACTATTAATGCAACAAATGCAAAACCTAATTCTTGAAGCATTCTGGATAAACTTATCAATTTCTTACCATACCTCTTTCCAAACCGTAAAACTTGTTTTGGTAACTGATAACTACTTTATCCTTATCTGTTCTTCTAAAATCAAATCTAAGACGTCTCTCTGATTTTTTCAGCTCTGACAACGCCCTTTCCACTTTTTTTTGTGCTGTTCACCTGTTGGTATCATCATCTAGCACCTCTTCTCGGCAACCTATGACTCTATCGTGGGGTCTCAAGAATTCAAGAAAACTAAGAGACTGTTTGGGAAGCTCTAGAATTCAAGAAAACTAAGAGACAGTTTGGGAAAAAGCAGACTACTCTGGGCGTTCTAACAACTGTTTTTATGCTCCCACTAAATCATAGTAGTAGTAGTATAGCTACCTTTCGCCGCTCCAGACTTGGCGTCGTCCAAGCTCGGTCAGATACATAAGTCCTGTGACAGGATCTCTAACATGGTCGGGAAGTAGGCGGGTGGGAGCACGCTTAGGAGTTTCAGACAACTGTGGTGTACGATTCGGCAGGGCACTATAAATCAAAAAGTTCGATGAAACTCTTCACTTGTTGGTAAATTAACAGTAGATCAAACCTAGAAGTAGCTTCATTCGATGGGCCAGCCACTTGCGCTATAAAATGGGTGCCCATGTTGGCATCGGCATCGGAGAGTAGTCCCTCCGCACATTCTATGACCTGGCTTTTCTCGCGGACAACAGGTGGCTCAGGTGCTCCGAACATAAGATCCCAAAAAGACTGATTCTGCTGAAATACAATTAGTCTCGACAGCTCAAGGAGAAATATTCGTTGATTGCTATTCAAAAATTTACCGCTTGCTTCGCACAGTTGACTTCATTTTTCAACGGACGTAAATTCGCACAGACTGTTTCCAAAAGTTGTCGCGTATGGGGTCGCGAGTTCACGCCCAACTCCCTGCATATAAAGCGTTATCACAATAAATAAATCAATCATTCCCGATAATTTAATAACATGTACACCTTACCTAAGCATCGACACCATCGGCTCTTTCCATGAAAATTCCACAGCTGCTCGTATAACCTTGATACTCTCCATGTTCAGGTCAAATACCGCCACCCTTGAAGTAGAAGATTGAATAGCCACATTTTTTAAAGGCAACTAAGAGAAATAAAATAAAGGTAGCTAAGAAAACCAAGCAATCAACCTTCGGAGTATCTTCCCAAGGAGGATTCTGTAAAATTTCTCATGGACTCGTATGAAGGGCATCCACGGACCTCTTAAGAACTCTGCACTAGAAAGAGTCAATAGGGCGTCTGCGTATCTCCATGGGCGACAAAAAGTCATCCAGCATTCTGAATGGAGCATTATTATAACATTTAACACACCTTGCGTATAAGCCACCGTTCATTCACTGCGTAACAAGGAAAGTGATAAGGGAAGGGGAAAACGGGTTACGTTTGAAAGTAAGAATTGGGAATGCGGGAGAAAACTCGACATACAACGACAACGTAATCTAGAACTGTAGAAGCAGATAAAAGCATCAGTAGCTAGCAATATTAACACAAACTTACGCACAAAATCCTTGAAAATAGACGCAGTAGGACACTGTTCGAGGAAAGTATAGAGGAAGGTGTAGAGATGAGCCGAGAACGGTGGCCGACAGTGGAGAGAACTCTGTACAATAGAACAAAAGGAAGATATTTATTCCGAATTGTAGCCAGCAAATCGCAATAGAAAGTTGCAGGATAGGTCTCACCTTCACGGCGAGCATATCTTGGTCTGCCACGTCGTATAGGCAAAAAACATGGAACTGCTTTAGTAGATACCTCAAAAGAAAAATTCATCAAAATTCGATCAGAAACAGTTCAAGTTTACTACCTCAACATCATTAATCTATTCGCTGAAGGGAAGTCACTCGTCGTACAAAGAATGCTAACAAAATTACAGAAGATTGTCAAGTGCCGTGGATGGAGCGATGACGAGAAGAACTCCTGAGACTCTGAAATAATGACACTGGGGGTCTCCAGAAGACCAACGTTGATTTTAAGGAAATATCGAAAATCTTAGATATGAACACCGTATTTCGAAGTAATTTGATTACGAGAGCAGTCATACCTAATTTTATTGAGTTCAGCACTGGAGACGTTGGCAGAAAAAGATCCAGAGGGGTGTGCTTCCGATGACCTATTTCGGTAACTAGAGGAACACGTCCTACACTAGGTGCAGTAGGTTCCGTAGGCAAGAGCCGTGTCACATAAAACGAAACGGTCTGCATGAGCACACTATCAGCGGACTGAACTGTTGGCTAAAATGTAAATAATTAGTGATAAGGTAACCATAAGGAGAGAACTAAATTATCCTACCTGAAAACTCAGGTCTGCCTGTTGACAAATAGCAAGCCATAATTCATTAGAGAGCCCATCGTCTGCTTCAAGGATGGTCTGAAACACTGATATTCAAAATATGCATGAATACAGGGCGTGAAAACCCATGCACAGCACCGAGACTACAGCTGTACCTAATCACACCCACAGGTTCAACACAGACTAGGATCACTTCCGGGATTGGACGGTTTGCGAAGGATAGGCCCAGTCATAAAAAAAAAACTTGACTACACCTAGCACTATCACCACTACAACTTTTCCGCTTGTCATGTCTACCATGAGAGACTCGCAGAACAAAAACCCATTTCTATCCCATTTCGAACACTTGCTTCGAGCGCAATTATGTGAGCCCTGCCATGGATTACTGCCAAACGTACATCTAACTGATGCTTCCTAGGTCGCACATCTCACCTTCACGTGCCTGGTGTGGCTGTAAAGGTAAATATCACTTTCAAGCGCGGGTTTGCAAGTAAAGAAATAGAAACTCCCTGCTGCGGCTGCAAGAGGACATATAAACAAAAAGTGAAAACTTGAAAGCATTACTACGTCAGGAAGGCTTGTTGCTTCCAATTCATCCATTACAAAGAAAACATAACACGTAAGCAAACGGATCTTATACCTCAAAAAACAAAGATCTGCAGTGGATGATCTCGTGAACGAGATGGAAGGGATGTTGAGCTACTTGAAGTCCTCCATTCGGTGGCATGATTCCACATAAATCTATCGATCTGTTTTGGAACAATTTCTGAACATCTAGGTTCGTTCACAATATATCATAAGCGGCCTCGAAAAGTTTAATCCTGCCTTAAGAGATAAAGAGGAGTGAACGACTCAATTACCTCAATTACTAAACGTGCATATGTTGAGCTGTGACGGGATGGGCTCATCTCCTTTTCCTTGTTCATAAGCATTCGACACACACCAATAACACCATCTTCCATGTATTTACTTTGATTTTCATAATCATTTTGTTCATTGTTCTGTCCAGTAGCTAAACTGGTTAGCCCAACTAGGCTGTTCATCTGGAATACCGTATCCGAAGAGTAAGTCTTTAACAAAAACCTCTTTGAAATAAGTGAATATTTGAGGGGTCGACCCAAGGAGCATTACACTTGCTGTTCATTCGCCAATTGAGTAAGATTTATACCAACAAGACAACACCCTCTTTCTAACTTAAAATAAATTAGGCTAAAGACAAGCAACAAATCGAAAAAAAACAATGCACCTCTAGCATTAATATACCAAACATTTTTTAATCCAAAAAGATACAATATTACTGAGAAATCATCTGACAAACTTTCCTTCACTTAGCGCAAATTTATCTTCGATAGACTATCTTCTCTCGGCGTTCGCGTTTTCTCATTTTCTTGTCGTCCATCTCTTCATTGTTATCTCCTGATGGAGCAGTGATCCATGGTAGTATCAAACCGAAGAAAATCTAGGAATGTGCGAAGGTCGTGAAACCGTTAAAAATAGTATCGAAGCAATTTATAACAAAAAAGGGCTTGAAAATATGTCACCAAACAGTCTACCTTGTACGCAGCAGCTGCAGGGATTACTAAGAGGATCAAGTACGCGAATGAAGAGTAAAGAGCTAGAATCTGAAAGAAACGAAGATTAATACTCTCGGTTCCTTTCGGTCTCTTCAGTAAGGTGTTTCTGAGATAAAGAGACCTGAACAAAAACGGTGACAATAATCACGTCCTTACAATATTCGCCAAACGCTTGAGGATCGTTTAGATCCATACCTGCGTCAGTAACGCGGCCGCGTTCATCAAACCGCGCACCTGCAATCTGTTCATACGACTAATGCTGAGAAATACTGAGAACCGAGTGCTTATCGAGGCATAGAGCAAAGAACACAGAATAACGCTTCAAAATACTAGTCAAAGAGTGAATATACCTGCCATGCTCTTCATAAAGGCAAGAGCTACGACCTCGATGAATACCGATATTCCGAAGTAAATATATGCATTATTATTGCATTCCAAAAGGAACAAACAAGCGCACCAATGTACGACCTAAATATTTTCTATCATAAGAAGAAGTAAGAAGTGAGCAAGTAGGGAGGAACTTACAGTTGCAACCAAACATGCTGCTCCAAAAGTTATGATAGTACTCCTGTTCTCTTCAAAAATTTCTTTCTGGCCCTTAGTTGCTACCTTCACCATTACTCTTGAAGAAAACCAAATATAATCGTAAATGAAAGCGCCTTCTTTCGAGCAATACAACCCAAAACTATTGAAAACACCGTAGCGTAACCTCGTAGAACTTGACTTCATACATCGCAAACAGCTAACGATGGTTCGAAATCGCGCTTTCGTTAACTACGTTTTACATAGTACCGATCAAACAGTATCAAAAACATATTGGCCCAATACCATACGTCTTGCAGCGCCCAATAGCTTCAAATAAAATTTTATAAGTCAACTCAGTAACGCCTTAATCAATCGTTATCTAGACCGGCACAATTATAATGGAAACCAACGATAATCTTGGATTCGCCATACACGACATAAGGGAACCGCAGAACTCACGCGAGATGACAAGGAGACATGTAAGCACAATGTAAGCAAAAACAACTGAAGGGGAGGTACAAAGATACAAAACCTCGACACGGAGATAAGCAATGAAGAGCAAAAAATGACAGAAAGGCGGTTATTCATCCGGAATAGGCTCACTCCATAAAAGAGCCTTTCAGTTGTTGTGAAGATCAAGACGAAAGATTTCATTCCCAATAAAAAATGAGCCGGTAGTGTTTGGTCGCAAAATAAAAATTTGCGAAAATGGATTGATTGGGTCGTCATCTGTCTAAAACTGTGAATTTTGCAAGTGTTCCAACATAGAAAGCAATTAACAACCTGGAAAAGCAAACCTTGAGCTGACCAAGTACCATTACGAGAATCGAGCCATCGTAAAGAGGTTGTGAGTCACACTTAGTTATGGCGCGTTGAATTTGCTTGAAGGTCAAACTCTGTAATAAATGCGATATTTTCAAACTGACTCAAGCTCGTCCTGATAAAACTACTTTAACGTGGCTCGTTAGTCTGATTCTGTGAGAAATCTACCCACTATGTTCTCAGGATCGAATACACTTTTTGGACAACGAAACCTTTAACTCATTTGAAAAAAAAACAAGAAATAGAATATAACTTATTTGAAGGCAGCAAATTAAAGGTAGCGGCAGAAAATTCAAGAAAGTTCATTGAGAAATTGTAAGTGACTCACACTGAATTTCGCAAGTATGGCATCACGGCCTTTACATTGTACTCCTTCGAAGCTCATGTAGGAGTTTTCGGGATCGTATAGATCACCCAGACCTTGAGCACGAGCCATTCCATCTCCCTGGTCAAATTTGGAATAGTAGTGCTGCACGAATGCTGTGGCTATAGTCTCGTAGTCGGGGTTGAAGTTCATTCCAATTATTCAGGCCTGAAAAGGTATGGGTACAAAGAAAAGCTAGGATGTCAAGCTATCATGTTTACAACGCCGAAACGAGAACCACCAAAGAAAGACATGGTTCGAGCTTAATAAATTGGCCAAAAACACAATTACAACTCAAATAAAGATCATTTGAGAAGCCCCATTAGATGAACTTATAAAAGTACATGCGCGAAGTCATACCTAGGCTAGGCAATGCTCATCGTGGTTCACTTAGTGGGCTAAACCAGAGTACTATGAGCTCAGCACCTCACTACCAATTTCTGATAAACTAGAAGCTTTCTACGGCAACTTACAACTTCAATAAGAAAAATATTTAGATTTGGATCAAAAATGTCTCGAAAGACAAGTTGCAAAATTGCCGATGGAAGTTGCTAAACGAATGTGTGAGTATGGCGAAGGTCAACCAGGTAGAAAACCACGTAAGAAGTGGAGATTAAGAGTATCGCCCGTAATCGAGACTTAAAAAATTCAAATTTCTCCCCACTTTGAAGACATTTCTTAGTCTTTACAAGTGGTTTTTGCTGGGAATAAAACAAAACAGACTTGTAGTCGAGATACGCGCTAACGGAATTTCATACCTATGGCAGATCTGACTTTGGAGATACAGAAAGTTCGAGGGCCGTTGAAATGCGCACACAAAAAAGCGGCCCAACGTAATGCCAGACAACGCTAGGTGGTGAGGCCACAATTTCGTAGGTTGGAGCTTCGGCGTCCGCACTGAATTTTGCGATTTCTTCTGGAAACACTTTGTCAATTTTGTTTCTGTTCAATTTTCTTGAAAGGACATCTTCTTCACCATTCTTTCTTCTCTTACGTAGAGGGACCACGTTGCATGTTACTGCTTCGTGTTTAGTGCACTGCACCTCCTGTTTCCAGCGAGCAATATTCTCAGCAAAGCTGTTAGAAGTTCTTTTAATGCTGCCTCATTGCCTCCCTTTAGTAACTTCCAGTCTTATTTCGACGATTTGTTTTGTACGATTCCAAGGTTTCATATTTCGAATTTTAACTAATTAACAGTTAACTAATTTCAAAGTCGCTAACGGCGTTGCCTTTTTATGGATCAACAGAGGTAAGCGGAATCAACGTTTACTTCTGCTTCTGACTGGGAGGTTGTAAGGGTGACATGCAGCTGAATCTAACGAGTGCGAATTCAATAAAAAACCGACTTCGCAACAATAGCAAGTGAAATTCAGAACGGGCACTCGTTCCCACAGTGGTTTATGAACAAGTGAAATGCAGTGGACGCAGAATTTCACAGACACCATACTCCATTTACGACATGATCCTATTCGAATACATAACTCCTTCACCGTCACATATACTATGCATTGAAAAGGGACCTTCGGCAAGGACCACCTTAAGGTTAGGTCACCAGGCCGCATGCATCAAGTCCGCTCGTTCGAATTGGACTCCCAGCTGGATTGCTGAAAAGACCGAGTTCGCTTACCTGGTTTTCGTTTCCGTTTTGGGCTACGAGGTTCATTGAACGGCCTTACTCAGTTTCAAAGAGTAGAAAGACTAATGCTTGGAAAATTGTAGCGAAAAACAGGATAGAGAATGCGCTATTTCACTAACATTATCTTTCGGGTCTGTTGTCTTTCCTTCATTCGATTTTTTACAGAAACTAAGGTTATATTTATTGACGTTCGTACTCGAGAATCAATATCAATGGGGCATATGTGGTGTAGACGTTCAGTTGTATCAATAGTGATTGTTTTTTCAGTTGAACGTTTTGCGTGCCACCTGCGTAGTCATACTATCGAACATTCCTGACTAATTGCTTTGTTTTTATTTCTCCTGAGTTGTATTATAAGGTGGTTGGACTCGAAGCCTTTTAAAATAAAAAGAAATCTTAAATTTAACGAGTTCAAATCAAATCTATCAAATTAAATTTGAATCTCAATTAATGTCACATTTTGATTGGTTTGACGTAGAGCCTCTTCTTGAAGGAGAAAAAGTGAACAGCAGCTGATTGTTCAGGCTTCTCTTCCAGTTGCAAATTTTCGGACTTTTACCCTGATGTTGAACAAATTACTTCTTAGTGATTTATGTAGCAAATGGCTTGACAAGAGGAGATAGAAATGAAGAAAGGGTATAGTTGTGAGCAAAAACTTTAGAACTGAACTAACAAAACCTGTCTTAAAACGTCAAATTCATCGAAATCATCGAGGGTTAGGAAAATACTTGTTAATGGGCTGAAGAGCTCTGTGACAGAGTGGTTAGCTATTACAATCAAACGATGGGTTCATTTTTTTGGATCGTGACTGTGTACTTTCCCACATAAGTTAACGGCTTTTTCTTTCATGGACCTGAAGCAAACTAAATATTTTGAGAAGTTCTCAAAGAATAATGTGCTAGCTTCGACTCCGACTTTCTGTTTGAAGTTCTGGCAAAAATCCTCCCGTGCCTTCCACAGCTGGTCATCTGGAAATATCTCGAGAGACTCCGCTCTTGACGACAGCCCTAATGTCTTCAACTTCTGATCGATCTACAAACAGTTTCAGGATATCTATAATGTATTGCGCCCAGTGGTTGATTCCAGTTCTACTGATTCCAAAGCACTGGTTGCATCCATTGTTTCTGGTCGAGCAAGCACTTTTCATGTGGTTTTATATTATTGCTTTCTTTTTAGAACGCAGGTAAGAAGTTTATTGAAGACTATAAACATATATCATTTCCTAGTCGTAATTCACTTGGTTTCTTAGGCCTTGTCACATATGTTCGGCGATTTTCTTCATAGCTCTGGGATTGCTTTGTTGGACCGACCCCGATACCTGCATCTTTTGGCCGACATGCGATCGTAAACTCAATGGAGAGGTCAGTACTCCTTTTATGACTTCGTAATTGAGGTTTTGATAGATTTTCTATTGATTATTGATTCCATTTTATACAGGTCTGCTCATATGTATATAAGAATGAGCTGGCAGGACGAATATAGGTCATCATTCCTTGGAAATACCACAGCCTTATGTGATACGGTTGTTCTACGGGCGTTTGTAACGGTAGCTTACTCGTTGTCCTTGTTCTGACTTTTTTCTTACACGTTTGTTTATAGTTGCTGAATAGAGTTGCTAACATTGTGAAAATGTTTTTTAGCTAACTTTCAGTTATCAGGTGTTATCATCGTTCGCCATAGCGCATCTTATTAGCACCGATATTGAAAAGTGCTGCCATCAGTTCTTGTCAGTTCGTGATAAGAGGGTTAGTCTAATCTCAGTTTCAGAGTCTTCACCTGTTCTAGTTCCTGTTTAAATGCACCAAAACTATTCTATAAATCAAATTATAAAGTTGTACTGGAAAGATCTGTGTGTCGTGTATACAATGAGAGATAAAATTTATATTCATAAAACTCCGGCATCAACAGACAACAACAAAGCACTGGAGCGTGTGAATCTTATTAACAATTAGAGTAGCTTAAGAAAACAGAGACTTAAATAGTTCATTCCGCGTTTCATGATTCCATTCCACCATTTCCGGCATCGCTGGATGGAAATTTACAAGCTTTGGAATTGGTATGTACCTGTAAGACAAACACCGTGAAAGTGTCCAAAGGAAACAGATAGCAACTTGTTTATCACTAACGGAAAGTAAGCCTACTTAATTTTTCTATCTTTTGAAGCGCGGTGATCAATTTCTTTCTTCCTGGCACGTTTGCTTTTCAATTTCTGCATTTCGATGTAATGTCTGAAAAAAAGTAGAATACGACGCAATAAACCTTTCTAATTGCATTGAGAAAGAACCTGGTCATTGCAACAGGATCCTGAGTATTACTTGATTTTTTGTCTATCAGCTCTTTTAGAAGAACTTGATAAAAGTCATCATCGTCGTATATCTCTTCATCCTCATCAGCCTGAAAATTGATTCTTAAATCGACAGTGAATAAAATAAAGTAAACGAATCTGTTAACATAGGTCATTGTTGTTTTCTATCTGCTCTCAAAGCGAGCCTTGTCAATCAACTGTCAACTACTCGTTTTTTTGTGTTCCGAAGTGTGATTTGAGTACTTGCTCTTGTCTGATTGCCCCAAATAAAGTCCTGCCTCCGCTGCATTAAGAATTCTGCGCAATTACAGTACATCTGATTCCGCACAAGAACCCCTTACAGCGAACTCCCTTAAAACGTAAACATAACATAAATAAAACTGATAAAAGAATCACCTCAGGATTTCCTCCAATCCTCTCAATATCGGATTTCTTGATGCGAGAACGCTTTATTAAGCGCTGTTTGTCAGAGCACACCTGCAATCGTATTCATTCTAAAGCATAGATAACATTCCCGCTGTGCTGTGGAGGAACTTTAAAACTTAGGCTCAAAAGCGGTTAATTCAATATTTTGTTATGGGATCCTCCGTAATGATGGCGTTCTCAAATGGAGCTTAAGTCTACACCTCAACACCAAGGGCATGTTCAGTATGAAGAATTATAAGTGACCTAGAGTATGTAAACTTAGTAACACTCAATGAGAAGCATTTCAATTGAAGGTGATTGTGAAGATAGCTGCCTTAGGGTGTTGGTACTGAATTGCGCTAACAGGGAAGGAAGTTGGCATTCTGCAGGTTTGCAGTAAGAAGTATAGGGAAGGGAAAGCTCTCTTAGCTAAGAACCTTGTTGCAGATAATGGGTAAAGCCCTAAAAAATGTACAAAGAATTTCACCTTTTCAATCTGAGAAACAACGTTCTCCTTCTCAAAAGCCGAGAAATCTGTGCTAGCGTTCTTTGGTCGACGAGATGCTACCAAACGTGTACGTCCTTCCCACTTGATTAATGTTGAATCCCTGGAAGAGCCGACTTCGACGCCCACATACTCCATGGCGATGCAATTCCAGTGTCTGAACTCGATAAAATTCCATACCTGAACTTCCCAAACTGTTCTTCACTCTTGCATATCCGCTTACTCAAAGACTTCATGCTCATGGACGTTGCTTGTTGAACTTCTTCTTCTTCCTCTTCTTCATCTTCATCGTCTCCGCTGAAAAAGTGCCGCTCAAATGGTTTATCTAATTCATCACAAGTTGATCAAGCGATTCGATAGTGCTATCAGGTCAAAGATGAAAAAAAGAACAGACTCGCTATCATTCTCAGGTGAGAGCCCGTTTGCTTCGTCATCGCTACTTTCTATTTCTTCGTCATCAGAGTCCACCGCTCCTGAACAAGTAACACATGAGCCTTTGGTCATGTGGAGTCTTCCTCTCCTTCATCAAACGCCTTCCTTGAATTGAAAAACTCACCTTCCTTGCCAACTATTGAACTTGTGAAGGAAGATGCGGCCAGTAGTAAGCGCTCAGCTTCCAAAAGATTGGAGACCAGTCTCGCCGCATTCTCGTGTGCTGTGAAACGAGACTATTAAATCGATAAAAGTTAATATTAAGGAGATTTAAAAGCACTCATATACCAAGTTTGTTAAATACCGTACCGAGTTTAACATTTGCTTTGGTTTCTTCATCAGCTTCTTTCAACAAATCCTTAGCTAACTGTCCACGAGGTAATTGATTAAAAGCCCTGAGCGCTGCTTGTAACTTTATCTTCACATACAACAACTGCTCCCACGTTTGAGTCTGAGCAGCTACTGATTCCGCTGTAAAACTCATATTACAAAAAAAGTCAAAAAAAGGTTTCATGAAATAGACCTTTGCGACGATGTTTGTCTTGATCTACACTTTTCATGAGATCCTTCATTGTTACCGCAGCGGACGGCTTTTTGATATGCTCCTCGTTCTCAGAGTCACCTTCTTCAGAAACAGAACCCTCTCCGCTTTCAGATTGGTCACCTTCCGAGTCATCCTGTATCAATGAAGGAGCGAAAGTTCTAACTCGGATATCTTCACTACTGAAAGAATGGCTTACAGATTGCCGTTCTTCATTATCCTCATCGTGTTGTTGAACATGAGCATTGGGCTCATCACTATCCTCGTCCTCTTCATCGAAATCAGGATGTTCATCACCTTCATCGCTACTTTCACCACTATGTCCATCGAACTTGTGGCCTATAAAAAAANCTCAGTTTCCGGCTTACCATTCAACTCTGTAATGCTGCCATCCTCTTCACCACCATTGCTCGGTTCGCCTCCATTTTCTTCCAAACGGTCTCCAAGTCCTGCCATATCGGAGAACTCATCGAAGATATCACTGCGAGAAACCTTGAAAATGTTGGTTCTTAAGCTCATCGCACTAGNAAAAAAAAAAAAACAAGAAAAATAGATTCACTTCAGTTGGTTCCGTCAATATATCTTTTAAAAATTTCTAGAGGTAATAAACCGGCTGAGCACGTCTGTGATATCAGCTCCAGTTTTTATGGAACGGTTTCAAATTGCCCACTCTAACTCTGATGCTAAATTTTGTTGTTTCTTTGAAAAGAGGACTTCTGGACTGAATCGCGAAACGAGAATCAATGAATTAGTTTGCACGTCCAGGCTAATGAGAACTGAGCCTCAGCAATCATAACGATTCGCTGGTTGAAATTCTAAAAAAAAAGATATTTTTGCGATGGACCGGTCAACTCTATAAGCCGCGGTGCCCAACATCACTTTGCGCTTGTTGTATGAATGAAGCTCTTGAGCTAACTCAGTTTCCGGCTTACCATTCAACTCTGTAATGCTGCCATCCTCTTCACCACCACTGCTCGGTTCGCCTCCATTTTCTTCCAAACGGTCTCCAAGTCCTGCCATATCGGAGAACTCATCGAAGATATCATTGCGAGAAACCTTAAAAATAATGGTTCTTAAGCTCATTGCACTGGTAACTAAATGGGAAGAGTATATTTGAGTGACTGACCAGAGGTTCAAGCAGCAGCCTAAACCATGACACAGGTAACCAAAATTTTCTAGTTCCTCCCTAATGAAGCTCTTGTCAGAAACTGCTTAAGGCTTCAAAAGATTACGCTATTATTCCATGTTGGAATCACATGGAATGTTATTTTTTCTTTGTAGCGAAAAGGTTGTCAGAGTTCACACGAAATCACAGATGAAAATCGAAACTTGTTCACGACCATTAGACAAGGAAGAAATAAGCCACCTAATGAAAGCCCCTCGAAGCGCTCATGGAAGCAATATAAAGAGACATCAGTAAATCTAAACAATACATTTAAACAAGAATCGTTCCTGAAGGGAGTGCCTCTTCCCATTTCATAGAAAACATGAATGTAGCCAAACCTTTGTACCACCGTACTTGGAGCTGTCATCGATACTCAGGTCAACCGCCTTTCGTACTCGCCTTGGAGGGCCATTATCGCTTTCGTCTACTGTAGGCTGCACAGTTTTTGACGCTGTTCCTTGAAATGACACCAACTTCAGTACGAATTTCAAATGAAAACTTCATGACCCTGTAAAAGACCGACTCACCATCCACATCTTCGTCTTCCAAGTCTGGCAAATCGAATACAGGCTGTGTAAGCTTCCCAATCTCCTCTAGTATTGACATTTCATTCGTTTTGCGAAGAGCCTAGAGTGTAGTGCATGAATTGTTATGTGAATCAAAGCAGAAATAAGGAAATATGAAAGGGAGAACCGGCAAAGAACACCGAGTTTCCAGACAATCTGCTACAGCTCGCTTGATAGCGCGTAGTCTGAAGTGACGTTACGAGGGCATGTTGCACAACATTAC